GGACCCGGCATCCCTGAGGCCTGCGGGCCCCCCGGCCCCGAGCTCGGGGCTGCGCGACGCGGGGGAGCCGGCCCCATCTCCTTTCTCCCCCCGCAGGAAGCTTCGTGTGGAGCCAGCGCGGGCCCGAGGTGAGGCTTGGCCGCAGGCGGGCGGGGGAGTCCTCAGACGGACGGCTTGATCCCCTTTGGAAGCGGAGGGGAGAGATGGGAAGAGGAAAATAAGGTCGTTTTAATGTCTTTTGCACTAAGTTGGACTGGAAATCCAGCCTGAGAAAATTCCTGCACCAGCTAGAGGGAGAGACAATAAAATTTGTGTGTTGAGAGAGCTTCCTCATCACAGCTGAGTGAGGCCTGGGCATTTTGGGCTTAAAAAACTTCTAAGTAGCAGCAAACTTTCCAAATGATGTGCTGTTTACTATGGCTGGAGGTGAGTCCCGGCCTTGAGCCTGTGACAGGAAAGGCAACGTTGCCAGGGAGGGCACCACTTAATTCCCACTTGGAAGGTGATTTTCATATGTTGAAACTACAGGGAATAGAACTAGGAGTAACAGTTAGGCCGTGTTTTCCTCATGCTTCAGCCAAGGCTGGATTGCTCCCCACTGTCTGCTTTGTCTAAAGCTTCATTTGTCCAGTCAAGATTTTTAAAATGACCCAAGCCAGGGGGCTGCGAGTAGCACTATTACTAAGCTATTGCTCACTGGATGTCTGCTCAACGTAATAGCAGCAATTCTTGGCAGAAGTGTAGCCAACATAAGAAATGTCTTCGTAATGGGAAGTCTAGGAGTGTAAACGAGAGTTCACATTTTATAAACTAGTTACTGGAAAATTAACATTTATTCTTCTTTTCCTCCTTGACTTTAACCCATTTTCATTTTGTGAGTATAACGCTGGTGCTTAATTATAGTGACACTCGTTTGCAGGAACCAGACTGTATCACAGTGTCCCTATGGGGTCCTTCTAATGCCAGTGTAATATTAAAGTGTCAGGCAGGCGGTCTGTGTATTATAAATAGGGTACTTCATCCATGATAAGCGATTATTATCTTTCTTTCCCAAGTGTAAAAGACCTATATAACTCAAGAAGGTGCGAGTGATTTAGGCCTCCCGAGCAGGAATCCAATGAGTCCTGAAGGGGACCCTACGACGTCGTTGTCTTGTTGCTGAACTTGAGATATTCAATATGTTATACTGGAATATATTTTGTGGAGTCAACATTGGGTAAAATAATATGAGAGGCTGTTAGACCAACAGTACCACATGATTTAGTGTCCCTCTGTGGTGGCCCTCTAAAAACCTTAATCACCTTTGGTAAAAGCAGAAAGCCACTGTTGAAGTTTACTGGCCATTGGTGAGCAAACAGCGTTAGTTACTGCACTGAATCATTTCAATAATTTAGAAAAAAAAATCATGGTTTTTTATTTTCTTTTACGGTTTTCCTTGTAGCATCCTTGTACCTTAAGGTCTTAAGTTATACAAAGATTTATGCAAATATTTAACTTTAAACTTATTAATTCTATTAACTTGACTTAAATCTTAAAAGTAAAATTGTGTTTAACTTTACAATTAGAGCTCAAGTTATTTTGATGTGTGGGTCTTGTGGTACTTAAATACAAAAGAAGGTAAGTATCCTTATCCCACATTAAGAGAATGGGAAGAATGCAGCCTAGTTGTTTAAGTTAGATTTGTGCTTCCGAGAACAACGCAGAGAGACAGCGCTAACCAGGCAGAAGAGTAACAAATTCTAAATGTGCTTGTATTCTTCACAGAATGGCCAGTGGTCCCGGGAATAATGTCTCCTCTTCTGTACAGAAAGTCACACACTCAGAGAATTCACGAGTAAAGAAGTCCCAGCATTCAGAAGAAGAAATCTTTTATATGAACTGCAGAGCAGCTTATCTAACTGTTTTTAAAAGCAGTTTAGAAAATATTAAATCAAAAGAACAACTCTGTTTAGGTAATGAATATATCTTCTTTTCCCATAACTATTGTATATGATGATTACAGTAGGTAATTAAACAGCAGTCAGCAATTCAGTAGTGAGAATATCCTAATGTGTATGACTAGCTGTTTTAAGGACTTCAGTAGGTTTAGGTTGGGTTTAGACATTCAAGCATCGTTAGCTGTATCTTTAAAGATGTTGGCATCTCATATCCATTTAAAAATATATTGCACACTGATTTTTCAGGTTATATAAAGTACAGTTCCTTCATATTTTTCATTTTCCTTAGATTCTTTGTTATTAGGTGCTGGGTGGTTCATGGAATTGGGAATAGCGTACAGAGCTTTTCATCCCTAAATCACTACTCTGAATGGGCAAAAGTCAATACCAGCTGACAGCTTACAGGGGACCTAAGTGAGTTGTTTAACAACACCAAGTTTGCTGCTAGCCTTGTTGCTTACTTGAGGTGGGTTTAAGTACTGCTTTTTGGCTGTGACATTTCTGCAATAAATTGTTCTCCCGTCTCTGACAAATGATTTAGTGAGTTGGTCTTAGGCAGTTTATAGTGGACAAGTGCCCCTGCTTAGCAAATCACCATGGTAACTGGCATCACTTGATACAGAGGTGCAGACTTGGAAGGAGGTTTTTATTGGAGACCTGGGTATGGTACTTTACCACCTCTAAAGACTGTCTCACAGAGAAGTTCTTAGCCACTTTACCTGAGTAATGTGTGAAAATATTGTCTTTCCTACACTGCGTCTGTGTGACAAAATGGACTGTTTCAGACGTTTGTGTGTCATAATAATTATTTAAATTCTAACTAAATTAAACTATTCCCTTAGATGGAGATTAAAAGTTTCCATTTTTTCCTCAGTATTATATTTATGTATAAATAATATCGTTGTCAGTAGTATGACAGAGGAAAAATCACTGAATGCTTCAATTCTGGTAAATAAATGTTTTAGCAGATATGAAACCTCGATTGGAAGCTGTGGAACTTAGAAAAAATTGTTTTGAAAAAATATTAAATGTCAAAGTTCCTTGCATGGAAATTATTAAGGAAAGTTATAAAACAGCTTACCTGAAAAAAAAAAGATATCTAGGGCTGTATATTTAAGAACGATTTATTTATTATTTTAATTAGTTCCATATTTTAGAAACTGGCTAAGTTTCATTTGGGAATAGATTTCACTAGCCCAGCTAAAATTTCTTGAGCAAATGTAACACCAACTTTGCTAACTCTTGGAGTTGTAGGAATTGTATATCTAAACATATATATTTTTTTTCCTGAGAGCACTTTAGTCTTTTTATGGAAAAGGTTATTCATAGTTGTACACAATATCATGAGATCATATTAGGTGACCCATGAGGTGTATTTCAGCATGACTTTTTACTTGGAGTTTTGTGATTATGTGAAAGTTCTATACAGCTTGCTGTATTGAAAAAAAAAACCTTCATTTAGACAAAAAGAGTTTAAATGCATCATTTGAAAAATATGTATATGATTTTTATTTTGATCCTGGTGTTTCAGAGTCCAACCCGCAATTCACTTGCAAGTAGTGAATTGCTTTCTAAAATAGTATCTGGTATTCCTGCTAGATTATCTCTATGTGTATTACGGCATTGCAGATTAATCATTAATTATTTTCAATTAATTATTTTTTTAAAAAAAACAAGCAACAACTAAAACCAAAAACATGCTATGTTATCCAATCAGTTAGATCATAATTCTATTAGCCACATATTTTTTCTGAACGTGGGAGCAAGTACATCTCACTAATTGTTTATGTCTCCTAAAAGACACACAATAAAAGCTGAATATTCTTTCCGGATGCACTGAAGTTTGTAGCTTCCTTCCCTGTACCAGTACGTGAAATCCTACGCTTTAACGAGCGCACTCTTTCAGCTTGAGACTTGGTGTTATCCAGGCTTTCAGGACTATAATAAAAGTGTCTTTATAACATCCTAGTGATAGTTTTGGATAATCTGGATTTTAAAATAGGAGTGGTGTGAACAAATGGCATCTCTTTTATATATGCTTTGTCTTTCATCTCTATCCACATGCCTCTTTGCTGCACAGCAAGTGTTTGGGCATTTTGGTTTCAAGGTCAACTTAAAAAGGACCACTAGTGACTCAGACTATCAGTATTTTCAGAGATGTGTGTGAACTTATTTATTTTAAACTTGTAAACATTAAAATAAGATTTATGTTGCAACTTATGTACATTCTGGCATTGTATGGAATCTTGCCGGTGTCGAAGCATCTTTGATTACATGATGGCTGGCTAATAAGCTGAATTGTGCAATATTCCCTTGGACTGCACTTACTCACAGAAATCTTCATTTCCTGTATCATAATGTTATTTAAGGTATAAGCAGAATAAGTATAAATAAAGTGCAGTCTAATTGAACTTTCAAAAATACAAGCTCAGGAGATGTGTTGTATAGCAAGAGCTACTCTCCCAGGGTATATAAAATTATATAACTGCTGTATTTGAAGGATATTCTGATAAGTGTAAGAGAATACTGTGCTATATTGACATTCCAGGAAACTCTGCTATCCACATAACCAAACACATAGTGTAACTGTCCTTCCTTGGCTGACTTTGACACAGAAATCCTTAAACAATTGCCGTGTGCCCAAGGGTCACGTGGAGGAAGATGTAGGCTTTGCTCTGTTCTCCTGATTGCACTTGCAGAGGTGACAGGGCAGAAATCTTTATTTAGTCCTTGGCGTTTCATCTAAGATTAGCAACAAAGGTGTCTGTTTTTGTGTGTTCGTTTTTATGGCGGTGCAGTTGCCTGTTGAGAATTGTAATGGTACCACGACCTCATTTCACAGATGTTACTGAACTGCTCTCAGCTGGTATAGATTTGGCCATTGGTCAGCTGGCTAAAAATCAAACTGCCACCCTAGGCAAAGATGAACCATTTCTTCAATTTCCCTAAAGTGCCTGGTTATCAGGAAGGACTTAAAGGCATCTCCTCAGACTGTTTCTGATAGGCTATTTGAATTTAATTTCAATTTAACACAAAATCTTCTTCACACTGACAAAATAATAGGTTCTTGATATTGAGCCTTGCTACCTGGGGAGAAAATTCTGTGTTTCAAGACAGTAGATATTTTACCTAATTGGTTATGTAATCCTACCGACTTTATTTAGGGGAATTGTCCTGTGGAGTTTAGTAGGACAGCAAATAAGTAAAGGAATGCTGCAGATCAAAGCCAATAAGCGAAGTTATAGTTAGCTGCTGCACTGTCTGTGATATTTTTGTATTATGTTTCTTCCTTTTCTGTAGAAGAAAGTGGGCATCATTTTCAGCACTGCACCATTTATCATCTTTGCTGGATCATAGTTTGGGAGAGTGGTCTAGAATGCTGGGTGCTGCCTGTTTCATGAGTATTTTCAAGTAAATACTCTAGGGAGCTAGTCTACCCTCAGGCTTCTCTGACCTCTTAGCTGAATGTGGATTATGTCCCTGTTGAGCAAAGCTATTTTTCTAAGCTGCTTTTCCCTTGACTTGACTGTGTTTTTAAAAGAAATGTTTGAATTTATGAAGTGATTAAAGGATGTTTTGAGAAAATTTGTTATTGATACTGACAGCTTAAATTTATAGTTAATATTGTGTTTTATTGTTCAGTACTTCAACAGGCTGGAAGAAATCCATCTCAGAAGACACTTAATAAATACTGGACTTCACAAACAACTACATTGAATTTTGATGATTTTTGTACTATCTTAAAAAAAGAAAAAGCAGCTACAAAAAATGAACTGCTCAGAGCATTTGGAAAAATAGATAAAGATAATTCTGGATATATTTTGCATGATGAACTTTATAAAATTCTTACAACTGTAAGTATCAATAAAAACTTAATTACCTATTTTTAACCATTAGTAGAGATTTTGGAAATTGGATGATAAAACTCCTTTAAATGTGTAATAGCGTGTTCCCGATCAAAAGGGTCAGTAGCTGATTAATGATTTTCTTTTTTCAGTTCTATGTTGTGAGTTTGAGTTAAACTGTAGACTATGAATGCAGTAAGAAGTCAGTTCATCACTTTATAGAGACCCAAATGAAGAACTTATTAGACGTTCTTGCGTTAGCAACTGGTGCTGTGCAGGGAGGGGAGGACCAGGGTTTGATTTGTTGCAATCCATTATGGATCCAGGACCATATGTCCACATCATGTTTGCCAGCAATAAAGCTATTGGTCCTAGGTATAGCCCGTGAATGATGTGAAGCAGATTGCAGTCGCATATTGCCCTGTCGTTACTAACAGCCATGTGGATGTGCACAGAGGAGATCGCTGCAGGACCTCACGCTGTCTTCCTGAGACACGTACTTACTTAGTGTGCAGGTAGGGCACTCATGATGCTGTTTTGGTGTGTGACTTCAGCCTGAGTTCCAACAAGAGAGAAACAGCTTTGACTTCACACGAATAACTCCAACCACAATACAAGACAAATTCACACCCAACAATAACCCTTACAAAAAACTAAATTGCTAATTTAGATGGATCCACTGCAGGCATCATAGCATAGTTCAAGTGAGTGAGTGAAACAAAATATTATTAAGTATTGATGAAGGCATCATTCATGCTAGGTTTCTTTAAGGCATGGCAAACTTGCATAAACTGCTGCAATTCTTCTATTTGGTATGTGGTAGTATTGGGTGTTGTAGGGTGATTCTAAATTGTGAACGCTGTTCTTGATTAAGAGCTAAAACTGGGTTGTTTATTGCAGAGAGGTGAAAAAATGACTCTGGATGAAGTGAGTGCCATTACTAAACTGGCCGATTTTAACAGCAGTGGCAAACTTGACTATAATAAGGTATGAAAACAGTGATATTATCTGTTCTTGGAGTTACTCGCACAATTCTCTGGACATCTTCAAAACCCGCCGGGATGCGACCGTGTGCCATGTGCTCTGGGTGTCCCTGCTTGAGCAGGGGGGACTAGATGATCTCTAGAAGTCCCTGCCAACATCAAGCATCCTATGATCAAATGCAACAGATAACACCGCCATGTGTTTTTCTTTGTTTTTCTTTCTTTTTCCTTTATGTGCCTGTGTAATGGTGCATACTAGGCAGAGTCAATGTGAAGCCTAGTACAGTGTATGTAGGTAAGAATTGAAGCAATAGCAGAATAAAGATGAGAATTGACGACAAATGTAGCTAATCTGTGAGGACTGTGATGTCTGTAATTCCCTGTGTGGGGGAAATTATTTTACATGTTGAGCATCTAACTTTCAAGATGCAATCTCTTCTCAGTTTTATGTTAATGTAGAAGCATCTCTAAGCAATGACTAAGTTTTAGACTGTAAAAAGCCCACAAAGCTTTGTGCTGTAACTATGGTGTTACTAGAAAAAAAACTACTAAAGTCACAAAAACATACAAAACAGGTTGCAGATGTCTAGAAAGAAGTATAAATAATCTATTTCATTGAAAGTCACATTTCATTCATTATCGTGACTTCCCCGTTGAATCATGGCTCCATTTTACTGTCATTTAAGAATGGTCGCTCTTATTCATGAAAATGGAAGTAATACTGTGCGTTAAGAGAAAATGCATTCCATCTCTTCTATCCTCTGCTTACAATTATAGTGTTTTAATCCTTAAAACTATGAGGAAGAATGTTTTGCTTACCAGATTATTTGTTATTGTCTGAAGTTTTGTGACTTATACGTGAGAACCAGTGAGCAATGCTGCAAGACTGCACTAGAGAAACTGGAAGTTGACAGTCGATTGAAGCGTCAGCAGTTTGGAAGTCAAGTGGAAACTTCCTCTGAAGCAATCACATTGCCAGTATCTAAACCATCACCAAGAGTCTCGAGGAAAACTGATCACAAACTTACACCAGTGAAAGGTATGATTAAGGGGGCTGGAACATCTCTCATATGAAGAAAGACTGAGAGAGTTGGGAAGTAAAAATGTTAGGCTTGTCAGTGATTAAATATTAAATAATTACAGGGGAAGTCAACCTATCTCATGGAAGTTTTTGTCATCCCAATTTTTAGTCTGTGTGCATGTAAATGTAGGGCTTTACAAGAAAAAGCACTAGAAACGATGAAATTATCTGATCGTAACTAAATATCTGTGTTTCAGGGGATAGCAGAATTTCTTCAAGACCCTCATCAGCTCAAACTTGCAAAGCATCTGTTTCTACCACTATCAGCATGAGTGCCAGTCGTAACAGAAGCACAAAGCTAATTGAGCCAAGCATGGTAAAGGTACTGTGTAAGCCAGTCCTACTGAATTATGATGTTTTCTCATAGGCACGTATGTTGTTGCATTTTAAATAAGAAACCATTTTTTTCTGATTTTTATCTTATGCTTTATTAATAGTTTGTCAAAGGCCCGTATACACTACAGAGACATTTCTTGATACATATTAATATTTTTATAAAGTGTTGGTTTTGCTGACATTTAGTTACTGAAAATAATTTTTCAGGTGTGAAGGTTTAATAGAACAAATTGTGGGTTTTTTTATATAAATGAAACCACTGTCGGATAAAACGTTTAATGACTTTTTGAGAAATTTAAAATTGAATAATTTATAAGGTTGGTGAGAACTTTAAATGCTTAAGTAGCTGAAAGATTGTGTATCATAAACCTTCATATGAAAGGTAATTGGAAATAAATAACAGACTCCAAGCATATGCAGTTTGTTGGGCATTAATTAGTAAATATATGCCATAGCCTGCAAATATTGATTTTTATTTAGACTAATATGTTCCATCAGTGTTTTGGTTTAAATATATCACTCATTCAATATAAATTCCTGTGGGAGAAAGACAACAAAGTCACTTTGCTAAGTCAATATTTGTAGAGTGTTAATATTGATCTTTTTCCTTTGTTTTTGCTTTCTTGACTCAACCTTTACTAGTTTTCTTTCAACAGAAAATAATAGCTATAGAAATATAAAACATTAACTGGAAACTGCTAGGATACATTAAAAGTGTGCACCTTGAGACCTCTGTGTAAAAGGGAAAAATGGTTATGACCACATAGTACAACTGCTGTTGGAAAACTGAACTGATTGTTCTCATGAGTTACATTTTTGTTTCAAATAACAACTCTGTATTTGTTATTGAACTCTGAAGTCCTTTATATCTTCAGCATTGCTATACAGTGACATTTGTTCTATATTAAAATTTAAAAACATAATCTCAAAGGATTTTTTTGCAGTCTGTTTAGGTATCTGGACCTCCATGCAATTTAACCTGCAATTTCACCTTGTTCAAACATGAAATGTAGTGTATAAAACCATTCTACAGCTTCCCAGTATTGGATCTGTCTTTCCTTTTACAGGCGAGTAAAGAGCTGATTGAAAATAGCAACTGCAGATATTGATTACTATTGATTAGCATCATACAAAAAAAATTAAAATTAAATCTGTCAATAAATGTAAGTATGTGCAAGTAAAACTGCTATATTTTTTCAACCCTATCTATTAAGGGCCCAATCAAAATTAAAGGCCCAAACCCCATCAAAATCAATCAACAGATATACAGTGGTTTATTTAGGCTGTGGATCAGGATCCAACAGCATGAAAATTCTTTTCATTCATCATATATTCAGAATAAATGATCTCCACAGTTTTTGAGGGATGATAGGAAAACATTGCCCTCATGAATCTGGACCAATGCCAAAGTTGCAGTTCTGATGGAAAAATACATTTGAACTCAAAAAGCTATGAACTTCTAAATTTAAACCCAGAAAACATTAAATATATTCATAGTACAGGACAGCTCTCCCATTTGTTCTCCCTCTTTTTTTTTCTTTTCCCAGTGGAGTTGTATGACATGTTCAAATTCTTGGAAATAAATTTGGAGACAAAACATAGACAACTCTGTAAATGTCAGATGCACAGAAACAACATCCTGACCTGTTGAGCTTCAGGTGTAGTTGACTGATGATTAAGTAAAACAAGGCTAAGAGAATTTTTGAATTTTGGAAAAATATTCTTATTATTATAGGTTTTAATTGAGATTAAAGGGTATCAACAAAACAAGTTCAAGCAGTGTATTGTGTTCTAAAATGCTCTCTCTGCTCTGGGTAACTAAATCATCCTAAACAAATGATCCTTGCTAAGGAATCTCACCCATACAGTGCAAAAGAAAATATCCCAGAGGAGTCTCTTTATTTGAAATTATGCATAGGTGTATGGATAGTTCCCATAATGATCTTTTTAGTAGCATTAGGATACCATATTTAGGCAGTGACTAGCACTGGGAACAGCAACTACCCTCTACCCTTTCTTTAGCATTAACATTTCTAATAAGAATATTTCCCATTATGTTAGCTATTATTTGACAAATGTGTAACTTTTTATTTCACATGCTTTATTATACATTGAAGTAACATACTACATTCAAAACAGAAAATCTTCTTTTGACTTCCAAATTATATACCTTTTGTACTCTGATATTGATAATTTAGAGAATATAGCACCACCTTATGCTCTCTGCAAGAATAACAACTTAGTATGTGATGCCTAAAGCCCTGTTCAACTTCTGCTTCCTGTTGGTCACAGCTTAACAAGGAGTTTGTTCCTTGAGATGTTTTCCCTTCCTATTTGGCTTGTTTGGTGTCCCTGTTAAGAACATCTATCACTTAAGTGAATGCAAAAGTGCAGGAAAATTTTTGTCTTTCATCTGGAATAACACTAGAAAATTGGAAGATGAGCGAATAGGACAAAACTACTTTCCATGGACCATGTAAATCAGGATGACGCATTAAGCTATCAAACCTATTGAAGAATGGAGGCTAAAATAATTGTTGCTGTTCATTTGACATTTTGGACAGGACAGAGTGGTCTTTCCATAGTAATAAAGTACTCAGATACACTTGCACTAGCAAAGTCCTGCTCTTGCTTGACACCTTTAGGTTAGTGACCGCAAAATACCATCAACTGAAGGTGAATGCAGTGCAGTGAAAACTGATCCTTTGAATGGTGTGGAATGAGATGTAGCACTGCTTGAAGACTTGAAATACAGACTGCTGGGCCTTAGAAGAGTTAGTGGTCATCTTCCTTACTAGGAGATACATGCAGCCCCTCTTCCTGCTCACAAGCTTATCTTTAAAGTCTTTGCTAGTTTACCTGTTACACTGGACCCTAAGCAAAGGTACAGGCTCCTGAGCAGAGCTCTCTGCTAAGATTAATCTGAAATCACTCAGGAACAGCATCTTCCATTGTTAGGAAAGTAAGTAATGGATAATAAATGTGGAAGTAAATGGGAGTAGATAATGGCATTAATCAAGGGAAGCAAATTCAAGAATATTTTACTCTCCCCAAGGCATATTTCTGTAATGACTTTGTTTCTCTTTTGCCAAATAATATTTTAAATTGAAAATTCGGGGGAAAAATCAAGCTTGTAGCTGTATCAGTGTCAGTGTGAACTCATGGATTTTCTAGGAACCTTGTTATACACAAATAACGTAATTTACCCTTTCTGTCTTTCATGTGGCTTTGACAGAAGCTGAAAGGCATCCCTGTCTCACAGTGAGGATTTGCACCAGCTTTCGCCAGATTTTGGTTGACCTTGAATAATGACTGTGAATCATGCTCAGTTGTGTCACATTCTTCTGACAGTAATAACAAATGCTGTTAGAAACCAGGGCAGCAAAGTGCAGAGACACCAATGAGCTTTATGGATATGCTTAAATGTTTTACTGAAGTAAAAACTTTCTGGAACTACATCTGAAAAATAACATGCTAAGCAGTTAGTTAATTTGTCAAATGCACTTGTGCTTGTAATTTGTATGAGCAAGTAAATCCGTATTGTTTGAGTTATTCGGTTGTTTTCTTAGCTTGATTGGTCTGATGGGACTAATAAAGCACAAATGAACACATATTTCAGTGGTAAATCACACCAGTTCTGAGAATTTCCAAGTTCAGCTTGGTTCACTGCAATTCAAATTTTGTTTCAGTTATGAGCATTAAGGTAATCTGCATGTTTTCAAGCATTTTCATACATGAAACAATAATACTAACTGGTCTGTAAAACTTGACTAGAAAGAGGACTGTTTTAGAGAATTTTTTAAAAAGATAAGATCCATGCAGTATTTTAAGGTGTAATTTATACAGTATTCATCTAGATTTAGTTTAGATCATCAGATTAATAAGTATAAGGGAAAATCCTTGATCTTGATGAAGGGTCAAGCCAATTTCTAATATTTGCTTGATTTCTAGGAATGGCAATGTGCACAATCCAAAGGATGTTTCTACTTAGAAGATGATGGTGAAATCGTTAGCCACAAATACAGGTTGCATTTACCTCAGAGGTCTGCTGTATGTATTACCATCAAGCCTTTAAACCTTTGTCAGGTAGAAGGTAAGCATATTTGGGTTTGTTTGGAGAATTTCCTTCTTTAAAAAATACTTTTTCTCTCTTAGTGATACATCTCACATACAGGTACACACACAAGCGTGTAGGTGTGCACACGCAGATGTAAACACACACACACAAAAGAAAGTCAGAAAAAAAGTGCTATGAAACTAACTATATATTGACCATACCTGCTGCCACACTAATGCAAAGGCAGAGAACTGTTTTTCCTTAAGTTATCAAAACTGTTATTTGTCACAAAAGCTGGGTTAAAAAAAATCAGCTAGATATTGTCATATTTATCTTTGTGGACAGAGTCCTATTAAAGATACAATTTACTTGTCAAACTGCCTTCTCTGCTTACCCTTTCTGTTCTCACTGCCTGATCAGTGACAGCCAGTTCAGCCCGTTATCTATCTTTTCAAAGTCAGTCAGCCTCTTAGATTGTGCAGTGTGTGTTCCGGACTCGAAGTGTTGTTTATGTGATCATTTTCATGAAGTATTTTAAGATTATGGAGATAATGATTGTATATTTGTTAAGGGTTTCTTATCCAAAATAAAAATGTAAACGCTACTTTCTGTAGCTCTCTGTAAGGTGTAGATGTATTTTATGGAACCAACAGTATAAAACTTGGTGAGTACTGCCTGAGAGATCTTGTACTCTGCACACCAGGTGCTTTTGTGTATACTTAATATGGTAATGTTTTTAATGACAGTGGGGTATCAACACTTGACAATTTTGAATCTTGTCTGAGGGTTTTATACCTTAATTTGCCCATTTTATTTCTTCTTTTAACATTTTTGTCCCTGTGCATCTAATTCGTAACAATAGATGCACTAATCCCTAGCACTGGATGCACCTGAGATTAGTCAACCTTCCTGCTCTTTTTCCCAAGCACAATGAGCTTTGTTTTCCCCAGTACTTTAGTAGGGGGCTTTATTCAGTTGCTCTCTGGAAGATACTTATTCTCCACAAACAGGTTATTTTCTCTTTAATCCTGTGAAACAGGAGCTATTACATCCTAGAGATGCTTTAGAATCATCTGAATTGGCTGTTGAGCCGCAGATGATTCTAACTTGAGGTTAAGAATAAATTTTTTGCTGATTAAATGGGAGGGTGACCAAGAGGACTTCTAATGGGATGGAAAAATCTAATTATAAAGAAGAGTAATAAATAGTAATATTGTACTAATAGTAGAACACAATGAAAATAGCTTCCCTGGCAATCAAAGGCTTACTATTTGAACTGCTAGTAGTAATTGTTATCTGTAAGACAGCCACAGTATGTGCAATATTTTTTTTGATGGATGTAACTAGTAAAGAAAACCTAGTAACGTATAGTAGTTTCTTCTTACATTAACAGGGACAAATGTTATAATAGAAAGATGTCCTTTGGTGTTCAAAGAAAATCAATTTATGCAATTATTAAATATTTGTGATTCTTTTAATGCGTTTTTAGGAAAATCTTGTCAGTGGTTGTCAGTGGATACAGTTTTGTATGTTCTGAAGGAAAATGAAAGCCAAGATAATTTACAGCTCGTGACCTTTACCGAACAACAAAATAAAGAGGTTAAGTATTTTCATTTTATTTCTATAATTAATTATTTTTTATACGTAAATGTTAGTGCTGTATGGTTGAGTTTCCATGTGTTTGGAAGAAATTCACACTGGACCTTTTCAGAGTAGAGAGAAGGAGCATTTGAGTTGTGTATATTCCCCTCCAAAACTAGCAGAACTTCTGCAAATCAGAAGATTTTAACACTGTCTTTGTTATGCCCTCTGGACATAGTGAATTGCAAGCCACATATATGGAAGTTCAATGAAGTCTTTGTGAAGGCTATAGTCTGAAAGGATGCAAATATTGCTGAGTTACTGATTATCAATACAGATACTCTCATACCTCCACCTCTAGAATTTTGGTGGAAGCTCATCTGAATTCCAGTATTATGAAAATTCCAAGGCTACACGTGTGAAAACTTCCTTTAATTTTCTTTCTCTTTGTTGGATATATGGTTTTAAACTTAATTGTGCCTTGAATATTTTTATCCTATTGCAGAAATAAGGGAGGAGAAGTTTCAGCAGTATTTCCTCCTTCCAAGACGCAGGGAACTCAGCTTCCTTCTGAAACCCTAAGTCACTTGTGATTTTTTACATAGAAATTTCTATTGCAAATTGAACTAAGTTTCTAAAATGGGGAGGAAATGAAGAACTTGCTGGATTTTCTTAGCTATCTCTGACTGAATTTCTTTTTTGAGTTAAATAAAAAGATTAAAAAGATAAAGTTATGAATGTGGAAAATGATAGTAGTATCATTGGGCAGTTCCAATAATTATTGTTCTTCTCTCATTTCTGGTCCTATGTGCATTTACAATTGTTTTTGCAAGTAGGAGATTCACTAGGAGATTTGCACTAGGAGATTTTGTGTCTTTAAGATGGCATCACGCAGGATCTTACTATAAACCTGTTTTCTTTAGGGAAAAAAAAACTAGCGTTACCTGTAGTTTCAAGGAATTCATCACTTTGGTATCGCTACTGTTATTAAAAGAAGACATAATTTGAGCAATAACTTAAGAACTTCTCTGTCTTCCTTTAAGAGTAGATGTTTGGATGGAAAGGGGAGCTTGGATCAGGAGTTTATTGGCTACTCCCATTCACAACAGGCTGTAGACTCAAGAAGGTAAAAACTCAAATTACTGGAGAAGCCAAACTGGTGTACAGAGGTGAAGATGGAGAGCTGGCTCTTACCGAAGAGTTGCGGTGAGTCATGTTCCCAAGCAGACATGGTTACTCTTTTGTAAGAGTTGTGCTCTGAGTAACATTGCTCGTAGCTATATGTTTCTAAACTAGCTTTTGTACAGAATGCTCTGTAATACATTGAATAATTATCAACAGTACTGCGAGACAATAGAAGAAATAGACTTATTTTTTCATCTTTTAGAGCAGCTTTATTGGATGTATTTGAAACCATTGATTTGGATGGGAATGGCCTTCTGAGTTTAGAAGAGTACAATTTCTTTGAACTGAGGACTAGTGGTGAGAAATGTGATGAGGAAGCCTGGGCTGTATGTAAGGGTAAGTTTTTTTTGTTGTGCTTGATCCAGCTAACTAGGACTATAAAACTAATTGCAAGTATTTTTTTAGCGCCATACAATGTATGGAGCATAGAAACACTGAGTATATCGTAGCCTATACCAAGAACTTGTCATTACTGTTCTCTTCTTCATGTTTTGCTTTTGTGTTTTATCCTTTTCCAATCCCTTCTCTTTTGCTTCCCTGTGGTTTGCATGCCGCTGATCTTCTGTTGCGAAAGTTCTTATTGCTAATTGCAAAGTCTTAAAAGTTTTGTAGGAGAAAGACACAACTGTATCTATCTAATCATGGATCGTATAGTGAATTTAACTGTAACAGTTTTTCACTGAATCAATTTATTTTCTGCAGATTCAGGTGAAACTGCTTTCATATTTCACAGGGTCTTGAGAAGGACCAGTTAATCAGTGTGTCTACAATACTTTAAAACAAGTACACTTAAGTGCTTATTACAATTGGTTAGATTAGACCTTAGAAAGTATGTATTGCAATCACATTTCTCCAAATGTAAGCATTTTTTTTCATTAGAAATCTGCCTTTTGAAGGTTCATATGCAGTCCGTCAGTTTACCCAAATTGCACTCTATGAAGCTATGAGGTTCTGAGACTTCTGTGAGTGAGCCCAGGAAGCTGAGACAGATAGGACTCTTTCAGCTGTACTTTTTCAGTCTGCAGGTATGTGTCTCATAAACACCACTGAACATCCTGCCAACCTGCAGGAGCAGTGTTGGGCCCCAAGCATCAATTTGGAAGAAAGAAAAGAATTCTGTGGCTTTGCTTTAACCCTGCGAAGGCCTTGAATACACATAGTTGTCTCATAAGGCCACCACAAGTGACTGTAAGGTGCTCTGATCAGAATACAGTCCATGAAAGCTGTGATTTCCAGGCATTGCAGTTAAGCTGGAGTCAGTGGTTAGAATGGAAATTTGGAAGCCCTTGTACGAAAATTAATTGTTTCTATATTAAACATCTTTTCCTGCAGCTCATGTCTGAAGTGGAATATCATCATAGATCAGCCCATATTATCTGTTAACTATAATTCTTTCATAGGCTATGATACATTGCTTAATTGAGGCCAAAACACTAGAAAATTTTTAAGTCCTGTCAAATATTTCTCCCCGGAACACTGTAAGACACTGTAAGACATTGGAGATTTTGCTGAATAATGGAAAAAATATGCAAGAAGTACTTTCCTGTAAATCAGTTTCTCTTCTTCTTCATCCTTGTACATGCTATTCTACACTTTACATATCTGTGCATGACTCTGTGCACTGGTGGCAATAAGAGTAGGAGAGGGGTGTGTGTGTGTGAAGTGTGCAAGAGAGGAAAGAAGAGAATATGGTGAATGTATTGCCAGGTCATTAATCAGTTGAAGGGTTGACACAAATATCATAAATCTTGACACCAGAGTTCAAGCCGTTTATAATAGCATAGTACCATTAGATAGATTTATTAAATTGGTAATCCCTTTTTAATAATATATAGTAAAGATTTAGCATTGTTATGAAGATGAGAAAACCATTTTTCAGAATCTCTGACACAAGAACATTTCAATTATGTGTTTGCTGACATTAAAGTGGTCAATCTGCCATATTCAATCAAGAGAAAGATGTTAAGATTATTGGCACTTTATTTCTTTTTAGGAACTAAGTAAATCATTTCTGTACAAAAGATCCAAGCACTAAGGGTGCTGCCCCCCATCAGACTTTCATTTCCTCTTCCTGAGGAAATCCCCATTCCCCAAATCTCAACCACAGCAGATACTGCTGGTGGAAAGAAAAAAGAACAACAACAAAAAAATCTTTGCCCACTTTTTGGTGTTACTAGGGATAAGCAGTCTCTGGTTGTTCTCTAAAATCCACAGGAAAGAGCACATGGCTTGCCAAGGGCACTCTACCACTTACAGTTTGGAGAGCTTGAGGCTGGAAGGTGGCCCCATCTCGTAAACCTCTAAACCTTGTTGGCATAAAAGGAGTTTGGCTTAGGGCAGATAAGGGGAGTTTGCAAAGAGAACAGACCTTTAACTGCTACTTTACATTTCTTTTTAAACAGAGAATTTTGACATGAAGAAGAATGAACTAACAAGACAGGGATTTATGGATCTGAATCTCATGGAAGCCAATGACCGTGAAGGGGATCCTAGTGACCTTTGGGTCACTTTATTGTCGCTGGGCTACAATAAAGCATTAGAAATGATAGAGGTATGAAAGCTGTGTAGCAAAAATAAATATAGCTTCACATATAGCTTGCTGCCCCTTTTAATTGCAGCATTGCTTTGGTCCTTCATAAATGGATTTCAGTAGGCTGATGACCCAGTTCAAATACTGCTACTACATATGACTGCCAGGCCTGGCATTTCATTTCTTAGGCTAGCACTATCATTTTTCAGAGAGAGAGTTTGACTTTTGCCTTACAAAGAAAGCCAATATTTTGCAGGGTTGCAAAGGAAAGAATCTTAGGTTAACGTTACGTGTGTGCGTTGTGGGTGAGAGGTGACAAGAAGTGATGGTAAAATCTGACCTGTCAGCAAACCTGCAAAATGCAGAACATGCTCTGTCCAGGTTTGTTTAAAAGAATCATTTTTGTGACCTAAGCCACAAGGGAAGCCAATGATCATTGTATGACAAAAAATTATCCCACAATGCAAAGTTCATGATTTTCAGATGTGGCAATTTCTGTTGATCCTCATGAACATTTTCAAGACCAGATTTTAATGAGAGTTTTGGGTTGCAAAATGTTTATTCTGTAGGGCCAGAGGTTATTTCTGTGATGTTTCTGTGTGCCTATAGTATTCTTTTTTACAGAAATAGTATCAGTGTTAGTGTTAGTTTTCATGATATTAGTTTGCAAGCCCATCACAGAATTTCCAGAGGATATTTTTAACAACAAGAAAGAAAAAAAGTAAAATTAATAAAAACTTTAAAAAATCTATTTATTAAATATACAGACAAAATAATTATTTAAATTTATTTCCAAGAAAAACTGATTTATTGGTGTTATTTATCAGTCTGATTTTATTATTTTTTTAACTAAAGCAATTTGGGACTATGTAGTTGTATAATCACCATATAAAAAGATATGTGCCTACAACAAATATATACAGACCCAAAAATACTTGGTTAGTGGTGGGGAGACTTCAGCTGGCTTCTCAGGGAAAAATCTTGATCATAGCCAAGAATTTCTTAAGTGCTTTCCTCTTCCTTTCCTGTGAGCATGGTTAGCTGGGCAGCTATAGAACTGTCTTTCTCCATTTCAAACGTAAGAGGGAGCTATCCTCTAAGAAAGAGGGTTTTGTCAGGTCTTTATTACATCATTTACAAATTCCTTACAGGTATTTTCTGCCTTGTAGTAGCTTTGGTTTATGGCTATAGTCTTTGCTTTCCAACGACAAATACAGCTTCCTTTTGTGCTTTCTTCATTAATCTAAAATTTTTATCTTCTTAACAACCTTTTAATTCCTGTATTTCAAAAGATTCAGACTTGATATTTCAGGAGCGTTAAGCCTAATAAATTAAGGATACAACTGAAAAAGTGTAACCCTAGTGCATTCCAACAGCCATTTGAAGGGAACAGAGATTCTCTGAATGAGCGTAAGAACACGCAGCCTCCTTGTCACACATACTAGTGCTAGCCAAGAAATTGGAAATTGTAATGCAAGACAATAGGTATCTTAAATCTTTGTGAAGCAGCACAATTAGCAGGAGCTTGGCGAGTGAAAGAGACAGGTTTATATCAGATGCTGAAATACATTCATATTTCACCCTAATTCCTGTATGTTTTCTTGTCCAGAGAAGGTTTGTCATGTTAGAGTGGAACGCACCAAGCTGCACATCAAGCATCCTGTGACTGTCAGGAATATCACTGATTTGTCTCAATGTCTGGTCTGTTTTTAAAAATAGCCACAGCTTTCAGTCTTTCAGTTTTTGAATATTTAATATTCAGTGACATACACTTGGATAACTCTATTCCAGAGCATCTATCAAAATATTTAGGAGACGGGTATAAAAATCTGCATAGAAGAATCAAGAAAAAAAGTGGCAATAACGAAACCTTGTTTTCTCTGTTGCAGGCATGCCCCTTTGTCATTGATATCTATGCAGAAAAATGCAAACCCAGGATTAAAGCCATATTCCTAGAGGCAGGTGGCTGGCAACTCAACAGGGCCATTTGCAAGTCTGTTGTCAATAAAGGAGAGGCCAAAGTAATGGATGGTTGTGAAAATGTAATTGTTTATACCTACAGAATGGACATGCGAATCACTTCTGTTATTGAAAATAAGGTATTGGATCATGTTCCTCAAACATACTTCGTATTAATATTTATAATTGTTATGCTCTCCTTTCACTTTTGAGAGTTATGTACCAAGTTTCGTTACCTAGCTTATTTAGAAAAAAAAAATCACACCTCTGAAAATAAAAACCATAGACTTCAAAAGAGACTGGATCAGTTTTCTTGGAAGAGCTTACTATAAGGAAGCAAGAAATTTTTCATAGCATATAGAAGTCGAATGTTAGTTTTTCTTTACGAGAATGGTGAAAATTTGGAATGATTGTAATGATTGTAAACATAATGTATTTGTAATAACAGAATATAAATACTAAAACAGGAAATACAATTACAGAAAGAACAAAAACTACAATATTTTATTATTCAATATTTTCTATGTTTGTAGGAAAGTAAAAGAACACCGTGTGCACAGACAGTGTTTTAGGTAGATGATGTGTTAATTTACTAGTCTTACAGGTCTACCTAATTATTAATCAAAGATAATGAATGTAAACCAAGCAAAGGTGGTTAATTAGATGCCATCAGAGACTTTTAAACCTTTTTGCCTAGATCCTAATGAATGTTCCATTCATTCTCTGTTTCATTTATGTCAGGAACACTAAATGAGTACAGCTTAGTAAGATGCTAAACTGAAGGTGTTTAAAATCCTACAGGCACAGTACAAGAAGTGTGTTTTTAAATGAACAAACATGCAAAACGGGTGGATTGGTGGACTAATATTAGGCTGGAATGCCAAGGCTCCTTGGAACCATAGCTTTAGATCTGCACTTCGCCCTTTAGGGGAGATGCACTAGAGTTATTTATATGTTTGGGTATATGTCAGAGAAGGAGACGGGCTCTGTATGGAGACAACTGGGTGCTGTCTGATTAAAATCCCTGACCACTGCCATTTACACTACTTGGGCTTTGTAAATAGCTGTGCTCTCTACTGAGGCAAATAGTTGCCCTTTCCTGAAAATCCAATCAGAATTTTTAGGCTGGTGATCTTTTTGTATGGTAAATGTCTAATAAAAAGGCAATTTTATGCATCTGTCTTCCTCTAAGCTTCCCACGGTGCAGCTTGCTTGCTGCAAGCACAAGAAGCAGCATTAGTTCTTGTGCAGTAGATTTTAATGGAAATAATTTTCTTGGTTAATTCTGTAATAAATCTAAGGAAATGCAGCAGTTGCTGAGAGATTCTGGTCTGTTCTTGTGCATGTATTTAGTCAGTGGGTAGAGAAAGGTGTCTGTCTCTCCCAGGTGAGGGTGGGAGCTGGGAGATGATAAGAATGTGTGCATAGAGCCTCCAATTTCTCAGAAAATAAGTAGAACTGAGCCTTTGTGCCCCCCCAAAAAAGTTTAGGAGTCATTTCCTATCAGCCAAAGCAAGATGCTGCTATAATACACCCTCTGTGCAAGGTGAAACCCTCAGTGACCTTGCTCCTCTTGCTGTATCTTCCTGCCCAGATAATTCTTTTGTTTGCCTTTACCTCATTAAGTGTCTTCCTGCCTAGATAATTCTTTTGTTTGCCTTTACCTCACTGCTGTATGGGAATGAGGACTTCACCAAACTGATGCCAATGCACAGGACATGATTAATGAAACATTTAATGCTAGAGTGTGTTTACATTTTTACAACCAACAATATTTCAACAATCATTATATTTACACTGCTGTCCAGAAATCCTTCCTGTTCTGAGCAGGAGAAATAGCTTTTTTCTGCCACTCCTTATCATTCTAGTAGTAGCTTCTGTTGCTATATGAGGCTGACTATGTAAAAGAGCTGTGTTTCTATTCCATTTCACAATAAAGGGCAGAGATTGTTGGATAGCACCGTCTAAGAATCACTAACATTTCCGAGTGTGGCAGTAGAACTGAGTAACTATGGTCATTTATTTGTGCAAGGCAACTGAATGTGAAGGGAGGTCAGACTGCTTACATTAGACACTTAGATTCATTTGGGGGAGGGTTTGGTTGACCCCCTGCAAGTGAGAACTTAAGAATGTATGATAAAAGTTTCTGAGGAAATGGCCTTTTGGTAGAGGGATCATATTTTGGAAAATAAGAATGGCCTTACAAGGTCAGATAAAAGATGCATGCAGCCTCAGTATCCTTCCTCCAGAAATAGCCAGTAAGAGATGTTAAGAGCACAAATCATGGCCAAACACTCGGTGATACTTCTCAAGATTGCTGTCCAAGCCCTTGGCACTTGCAGCTCAAAAAGTTGCACCTTCAGAAGTGCTTAAATTATTTCAAGTCTTATATGGCTTGAGAATGGGTTCGGGCCTGATGATGGCAACGAGCAAAATCACAGCAAGTAGATGGAATGTGGAACTGTTATACAAAGAGTAACCACTTGGCCATTAAGACTAATGCGATGCCCATGTTTTTTTTTCACCTGCAGTCTGAAAGCAAAGTGATTATTCATGTCAATAATGAGCACAGTAAGAACTGTCTAAGTAATAGAGGACTCGCCGTTTTTGCTATTGAAGTGGCACCAAAATCCATGATGGTAAGATTTTTATTGTGTAAGTAATCCGAAATCTAAGCAAAAAAAAAAAAAAAAAAGACATTTTTACAGTTCTCTTTTACAAGTCTTTTATCAAAATAATGAGAATGTGGAAAGTGGAGAAGTCTATCTTCATCACCTGCACAGTTAAGACGTACGTCTTGATATTTCAAAACTGAACATGTACCTGACGTATCAATGTCTCATGCAGATAGCTGTAAAAGTGCTCACTATCGCTGTTCAGTTTTTAATGCATGTGTCTGTTTCAGTTGTCCATTCAATTTATGTATCATTTATTCATATTTTTAATTTTTTTTAACTTAAGTTTTAACCTGATGAATAGATGGCTGTGAGGAACAGGCCAAGTGCGTGCTAGTCTTGAACAAAAATATATATGTTGAACTGCCTAGGCATAGTGTGGTTTACAGAGAGCGATTTTTTTGAAACTTAACTTAGGGAACAAGTTTAGCCATGAGGCAGTTTGAGATCCAGATCCCTGTTGCAGAGATGGACAGGTTTTAGTGAGAAATCTAAATGAGGTTCTACAGTAAAAAATTACATTGAAATTGCCTTACAAATACAGATGATACTCTTCTTCATTTATGAAGAAAATCCTGTTTTTATTATTATAAAAGTAAGATCTCTGCCTTTAAAAGAAAAGACAAAGTATTTTGAATTTCACAGGTTTCCAAACTCCTGCTCTGAGGTGGATTCACTCAGATCCATTCTGAACAGATACAGTCCTATTCTAATATTGCTGCCAACACTTTAGATAACTAAAGTCAGACCCCATAAAGCATTTTATTAATTTTAATTTCTTCTTCATTCAGTGTGAATTGTAAGCTCGGGGTCTCTTACGGATTTTTTTTGCTGTAATGCAGTTAGATTTCATACTAAGTATTGAATACTAGATGCTGAATCATCAGCATCATAGATGATGAATGTTCATTTTTATTTTAGTGCTAGAAGTACTAAAACAACTAATTTTACCTAAGTAGCACTTAAAGTAACATCCAATAAAATATTTCACTAACATTTTCTCTTTTTTATTCAGGTTTCTCAACATGTGATGCCGCTGAATGACCAGGAAGAATGGCTTTATAATTGTGTGCATTCCCTCTTACGTTAAACACTCAAGATAAAAAGCTATATTTTGGTAGCATTCAAACTAAACCAGCATTTCTTTTTCTCAAAAGCTGGCACAAATTGATGTTTTACTCCCAGAGTTTCATTTGTTAAAGCTAGGGAATCGCATATCTACTTATTTATTTCTGATATCACGCTTCTGCTAACAGCTTGTAGGAAACTGCAAGTTCCATTGTTTGGCTGTCTTAACAGCTTAAGGGAATTAGAAATGTCAAAGCTTTCACTTATCAACAGCTAAAATGGTGAAAATATATCTCCCTTTAGCCTATAGAAGAAATCATGAAAACATAAACTGCAGAAAGACGTGGGAGGACAAATTCCCTGTGTGCATGACAAACAAATGTATACATGTACATATTTTATACGGGACGAGTCACGTTTTGAATATCTTCCAAAGGAACCTCTTTCTCCATTCTCCTGCAGAGCTTTAGCTGGTCATGTGCATTATGTGGTCAGGAATTTACACACAAAGGTCTGCAGATGATCGTTTCTCCAACTCCCCTGGCAGTTCTTCCTACTTAACCTTGAAGCACACTGGAGAGCAAGTGGCATCTCCTGCAATGTCCTAGCTCTGTTTTAGACCTATCATTGACAGAAGCAGAGCATATGCCATTTCAGCTGTTTTATTTTTTTCCTTAATTTATATAAGGCTTTTGTCAAAACCGTTTTTTTATTTTTTTCCACAGTGTGAAGATGTATCCCCTAAATTCTGTTACTGCCACAGGGTTACTTGTTTGTTTTTTTTTTTAATTATCATTCTTCCCACTGCTTTCCTTCACAATACATCCTAAATTTTGCAACCGACATTACTTTTAATTTATCGGATATCCAGTTAGCTTCCTTCAGTGCTTTCTCTTTTCAGCAGTGTGACCAGCTCTCAGTGTTGTGTTGCTTCCTACTTTCCTGCCTTCAGGGGAAATAGTTGTGATTTCCCCAAAACACATTTCTTATTCTCTGCCTCATCCTCTTGTTGGTCGGCTTTCATTGTGTGTTTCACATTATTGCCTTCATGCTGCTGCTGTTTTTTTCTCCCTTTTTTTTTCTTTTCTTTTTCTACCATATGGCATTCAATCAAATACTTCTTTGACATCTGAACCTTAACCTTTTGGGTTGTGTTTTCTGTAATCAAGATGATAGAAGTTTGAGGGACTGGTCCTTGCTTTCCTGCATGTTTTGACATGCCAACAGTTAACATTGTCATCATAGAGAAAAATCACAATAACTGGACTTTTTTTTATATTATATGACTTTAAAATGTTAAGACTTTAAAAGTTTAACACTTTATATATTTGGGATGAGAGAGGCAGGCATTCTGGGCTTGCTGAGTGTGTCCATGGAGAAAATTTTATGCCATAAATATTGCCGAATATGTCATTAGAAATGAAAACTACAGTACTTGCCAGAAGCTAAATTATTGCTGCCAAAAGGCTGCAACACCAGTTACTTCACTCTCTTAGTATTTGTTTCTAGAGTAGTGCTCATGGAATTATTGAAAACAGCCCTGTCTTCTGGGTGGGAGTAAAACTGATGTTTAAGCAAGCTCTGGAGAAATAAATTTATTAGTTTTATTATTATAAAATGTATTAGTCTTTTCATCACTATAATCAGAAATTGAACTTGTCTTACACTAAACTGAAGTTTGACTTCAAAATCCGCATTTAAATATATAAAAAAATAGAAGACAGATATTTGAAAATATTGAGCATGAACACTGAGAGGAAATTTGTTTTCTCAAATGAATCTTTTGGGTTACTAGCTTAGCACGTCTGTGGCTCTGACCTGGGGAATATAGAGAGGCAGGTTCTTGATTTTATTTTACCACTTGATAAGGATTTTTTTCTTTTTCTGAATGCACTTTTTAAAAATTTGATTTGGTAGATACTCGTTTTGCATTGTTCTGAACAATTAACCACTGTTTTATATGCCTTTGTGTAAGATGAAGTCCGGGCTTTCAAGTGTGATACGGAAATAACATTGTTGGAAGAAGACGAAAGCCTTTGGGCGGATTCCTGACTCTGAACAGAAGTAAACTGTTTCCAGAGCAGCTGCAATAAGGGAGTTGAAGCCCACCCAGTACAAACTGCAGCAGAAACGAAGAGATTTGAGTGCTCAACCTCCTAAAGCTTTTCCAGTTCCTCTAAATGTCTCTTACCATAAAAAATGATGACCCTGGTCAGCGGATGCTTAAAAAACGTCTGCGTTTAAAATAGACAGCAAGGGTAGCAAGTAGTCTTGACAGGCTATATTTATCTGCCAGCAACTCCTCTGGCCTCTACTGTCACTGAGCTGTAACCCAATACTGGGCAAGTAAATGTCACTTAGAAAAGGAGAGTGTGGCCAGAGGCCCACAGTGATTTACAGAGCAGGAACCCAGGCCCGCGCTGCTCTAACGGGTGACCTGCTGCTTTTTCCTTGGCCAGGACAGCAGATAATACCGGTTTTGGGTATTTTTGTTGTTATTTTTTTTTCCAGAATTGTCTAAAAAAAAAAAAGTGAAACTGTGTATTAGCCAAGTCCACAAGCATTTGGTAATTTCTAGCCAAAAAGTTAACACATTTGCAAACCGCAGCGTAGCAACGAAACACTGCCTCAGGGCAGCATTCGTGCTGGGAGGCTGCATCCTGGTTTCCTGGTTTCATCTCTAGGAAAGAACTGGGAAATAACAAGACACATCCAGGAGTACAAAGGGAATGAACGCTCCATTATTTGTACTTCCTTTTGGTTATAAAATCTACCTTGGGAGACATGTCAGGATTTTTTTTTTAGGAAAAGAAAGCTTAAAACGGAGAGCAGACTTAGCTGCGTACCGTGACCTCGGAATAGACTCGGTTTGGCCGCAGTTGGGTGCTCAAGGAGAAGGGGTAGCTTCTGGCCCTGCCATCCATTCCTAAGTCTTAACCTAAGCTCCCGCCTGTGCGAGGGCCTTAACAAAACACCTTCAGAATAATAAGTAATAATAAATAAATAAAATGGAGTTTCAGAGTTGTGCAACGCCCAAAGCAGCAGTGACTCAGGACAACTACTGGCATTAGGGCCCTTAAGGTCTTTCCTGTGTACCTTGCGTTTATTTTTCCACTGTTCCAGCAGGTGAAAAAGAGTTTTTCCAAAAAAGAAAAAAAAAAAGCACTGATATTTTGGGATTGCTGTTTAGATGCTTTGGGATTGCTGTTTATTTGCTCCGTTCGTCATCTTTCCGTGTTTGTTTTCCTTGGCCGCAGGACACCTCGGCGAGGCACCCGGGGCGGCGGGAGCGGCGGCGCCCGCGCTGCGCCTTTAAGGGGCGGCGCGGCGGGGCGGG